GCAAATTCTTCTGCTAATTGGGGTTTAGTCCAATTCTGTATCCTTCCCTTCAAGGCTCAGGGGTCCATGATTATCTTCTGTGTCTGTGTTAACTGTTTTCCCTTTTCTTTGTTGAAGAGGGTCTGTGCAGTCCTTCTGCCTAGTCCTCCATCTTGCCGGAACTCTCAGCACAATCTTATTTAATCATAATAACACTATCAAGTAAATATTATTCTCTCCATTTTATAGATTAAAAACTGAAATTTAGCTAAACTAGAAAACTTGTCTATGGTTATACAGCTAGTAAGCAGTAGGCTTCAACTTAGCCCTTTTGACCTAGTCACTTGTTATTATTAGCTGCCCTCAAGTTGGTTCCAACCCATAGTGACCCCATTCCAAAGGACCCTAAATAACCTGCCAAGAACATCTCCTAGAGTACTTGAGTGGTGCAAACAGCTAATGAACATAGCTGCTAACCTAAAGGTTGGCAGTTTGAGTCTACCCTGGTGATCTACTTCTGAAAATTCTCCTACTAAAATCCCTGTGGAACACAGTTCAACTCTGACACACATTGGGTCTTCATGAGTCAACGGCATCTGTTTGTTTTGTTTTGAACCATATCTCCTAGACTTTCCTCCTCACTCATGCAGCTGCAGCCATACTGGCCTCCTTTGCTATTCCTTGACAACCTTGGGCTTGCTAGGGACAGTTCTGCTCTGTGTTGTTATCCTTTCAGTCCCTGTGCCTGAGAGATTCCCCCAATAGCCACATGGCTCTCCAGCTCACAACTTTGCTCAAATATCTGTTCCTCACAGAGGCCTTTCCTGACCACTGCATTTAAACCTCCATGGTTCTGTTTCCCACTACTCATCTGTCAGTCTGTCATACTGTGGTGGCTGGCTTGTGTGTTCCTGTGAGGCTGGAAGCTGTACTACCAATATTTCAAATACCAGCAGGGTTACCCCTGGTGGACAGGTTTCAGCAGAGCTTCCAGAGCTTCCAGAAAGACTGGGAAGAGGGATGAGGCCATCCATTACTGAAAAAACTGGCCACTGAGAATCTTATGAATAGCAATGAAACACTGATATTTTACTGGAAATATATATATTACTGATTTTGTTACATTACTGGTTCTATTTTGGTTTTTATGACATTGTTATTACATGCATATATACATACACACATACACAGAGAAACAAACACGTTGTTGTTGTTGTTAGGTGATGTTGAGTCAGTTCCAATTCAGAGCGACCTCCCGCACAACAGAACGAAACACTGCCTGGCTCTGGGCCACCCTCACAATCATTGCTCGGCCTGAGCCCACTGTTGCAGCCACTGTGTCAATCCATCTCAGGGAGGGTTTTCCTTTTTTTGCTGACCCTCTGACTTTACCAAGCACAATGTGCTTCTCTAGGGACTGGTTCTTCCTGGTAACATGTCCAAAGGACATGAGAGAAAGTCTCACCATCCTCACTTCTAAGAAGCATTCTGGCTGAACCCCTTCCAGGACAGATTTGTTTGTTCTTCTGATAGTCCATGGTATCTTTGCCAAAACCATAATTCAAAGGCATCAATTCTTCTTTGGTCTTCCTTATCCATTTTGTAGCTTTCACAAGCATACAAGGCAAATGAAAATATCTTATACATACAAGTACATATATATATACACACACACACATTCTTATATGTAATTATATATATATATATATATATATATATATAGATAGATAGGTATCTCTCTACCTATATATCTATCATCTACCTATCTATCTATCATGTACCTCTCTGTGAGGTTGGGGACTTTGGTTTGCTCACTGCTGGATTCTCATTGTCAAGAATAGTGTTTGGTACATTGTAGGTATTCAAGAAATACTTTTTCAAAATGTTAAGACTTTTCCTCATATTAATATTGGCTTGGATTTAGTAAAGTACTTTACTTACTACTGTAATAAGCTTCAAATAAAAAAAAAAACAGGAAGAACAGTTACATAGTAGTTTTCTCTATACCATATGCTTTGCAGAATCCTTAAAGATCTAAGCTGGAAAACAACTTTAATTTTATTCAGAAAATCTAGTGCAATTGTTGATTCATGAGATCTAGCAGAAGTATAGTAGAAATACTTCCTTTCAGATCATCAGAGTGCTATGAGAAAATAAGTATTAAAAAAAAGAGCTCCTGCATTACAAATACTCAAGTAACCAGTTACTTGTTTGAAACAGTTGTTAACAAAGGAAAAGGAGAAAAAGCTTCCCCAATATTACTTATTGTTAAATGGCTCTGTATAAAGAAATTATGTATGATATTATGAGAGACAATTATTTTGAAACTCAAATAAAAGGAAAAAGTCACATCAGAGTGTTAATGAATTAAAAATTGGCTCCCTAGACAATTCTTTTGTGAAAATCCCAAACGATGGTTCCAAAAATAATAACTAAATACACGAGGTTTAAATTCCCTGTAAAAATAAAGTTTCCTCAACCCATTGTATCTTTAAATTATGCTACATATTGTGAGCCACAGAAAATAATCTTATAATATCATGAAACTGCTGAAGTCAATCCATATAAAGCAGTTTGTGAGTTAAGTTCCCCTAAGTAATTCTCTGATCTCCCCAACACTTTTTTTGTACTTTTCTGATGGCACTTTTCACTTTTATCTTATATTTGGTGGTACTGGCATTTTTTGTCACAGGATTTGTGTCTGTTTCAATCTTTGCAGTCTCCTACAGTGGTAGCACATGACTAGGCCATTCAATGTATGTTTTCTGAATGATGCAGACCGTTAACAATGGTAGTAAACAACACACAGATATAATAGTGGATATTTACTTGCCAAGTCTAAATGAGCCCAGTAATTGCTTTTATGTATCATATCCTATGAGAGAAAAGCATAGTGAGTTAGGTAAATCTATAAAAGTGGTTTATTTGTATTTACTCTACTTTTGCTTCCTGTGTTTATCATAACTGTAACAAAGTAAACATTTTGTCTAATCATTTGCTTAAAATCTGTCTCTGCTACTTAATTCCATAAGAGTAATGCTTATACAGCTGATCCTTAAACAACGGGGGTTTGAACTGTGTGATTCTACTCCTACGTAGATTTTTTTTCAAGATACGGATCTTAGAGAAATTCAAGAGCTAATAAACACCACATCAGAGGAATAAACAGAAGACGACTTGGTGGAGATGAGTGCTTCCTAACCAGTGCCAGACGATGAAGAAGAAGATGTAGAAGAAGCAGTGCCAGAAAATAAATGGACATTATAAAATCTGGCAGAAGGATTCTGATTACGTAAGATTGCTTTTCATTTCTTTTACGACATGGACCTTTCTATGAGACATATAATGAAACTAAAGCTAACAGTGGAAGAAGGACTGGCATCATATAGAGACATTTTTAGAGAAATGAAAAAGCAAATAAGTTGGACGGAAATTATGATGACCTCCATAAAGTTACACTGACTGTCCCTGCCTCATGCCTCCCCTTCCACCTTCTCCGTCTCCACTACCTCTGCTACCAGAGACAGCATGGCCAACCTCTCCTTCCTCCTTCCTCTTACTCAACATGAAGACTATGAGGATGAAGACCTTTACGATGACCTACTTAATGAACAGTAAATAACCATCATGCTGTATAGTGCATAAACTTATGTGTTGTGTGTGGGTGTCTTTGTGCAAAAATCTAATTAACTTTAAGGCAAGAACTGCTTTAATTGACATTATGTTATCTGTAAGGCTTCTGGTCAACAGCAGGCTATCAGTAAAGTTTTCGGGGAGTCAAAATTATAGGCAGATTTTCAACTGCATAGGGGTCTGTCTGCTGCCCTAACCCCTGCATTGTTTAAGGATTAACTACACACACACACACACATATGTGTGTGTATATTTATACCTATCTATCTATATCTATCTATCTATCTATCTATCTATCTATATCTTGTTATAGCCTAGCTATTTCCCAATGTTGTTCTTGTTATGTGCCATTGAGTTGGCCCCAACACATAGTGACCCCTCCTTGGGTTTCCGAGGCAGTATCACTACGGAAGTAGATTGCCCCATCTTCCTTCCGAGGAGTGGCTGGTGGATTTGAACTGCCAGCCTCCTGGTTAGCAGTCAAGTGCCTTAGGCACTACGCTACCAGAGCTCCCATATTTCCCAATAGTATGACCCAATTAATATATTTTAAGTAAAAAATGCAGTGAGGCTTCTTGCACTGCAGAACTTGAAGATGACAAGGTTTTTATCCCAAGTGAGTTTACCAGGTAACTCACAACTTCACAGAACCTAACAATTTGTTTTATACTGATTTCAGAATGTACTCTTCACATGCATCCTACAATAAATAAAACAAACAAACAAATAAACCCCCATAAGTCACTGCCATCAAGGTGGTTCTGACTCATAGCACCCCCTCCTTGGATTTCCAAGGTGGTATCTCTATGGAAGTAGATTGCCCAAGCTTCCTTCCGAGTGGCTGGTGGATTTGAACCACCAGCCTTCCAGTTAGCAGTCAAATGCCTTAGGCACTATGCCAAATAAATGTCTTAATTATCATATATAGTTTAATTGGCAGCACTATTTTCTTTCTCAGTAGGGCATAAAATAACATTTTAATAAATGCTGGTGTTTTAGAATGTATAAAATATTCTGATATTGTTAATTCTGTCTTAATATGAAAAACAGAAAAGTTCCAAATACTTACATCAATTAAATCTGAGAGATCATGAATATAATACTTGAAAACTGAGGCATTTGTTGCTTCAAGCGTTAGGAGATATTCATTCCTTGCCTTAATTGACTTTAGCTTATTTTCAGAATACTTTGCTTGTCTCTGGAAATGAAGAAGTTTCAGAGATTGGGAAATAAATTAATTTTAAAACAAAACAGAAAAAACATACATGAGTTTTTATTAATCTAAACAATTTATTCCACATACACAAATTGGCTGGCATCCTTAGTGAGAAGTACATTCTGAGTCTTATTTAAATAATAAAACCCAAATCACTCAGTTACAGGGAATAACAACAATATATTTGGGCTTCATGCCCATTTGCAATGAAATCTCTTTGTTAATATTCCAGTTCTCTACATTGTGTATTGAATACTTGGCAGTCGATACTAAATGATGTCCAGCTGTTAGTACACGATTTTTATGTTTTTTAAACATTTTTTTCATCCCCTTGGGAGGATATGCATGTCATTTCTCAAAAGTTTACAATGTGTGTGTATCAGCTATGGGATCAATGTTCTTAGCATTGTCACCTCAAATGAGGACAGAATGTCACCTCACAATGGCCTGCAATATATTTTTACATACCTTTTCTTTCATTTTTTCAATTTTCTTTACGGAGCTTCGCCGCTGATGTCTCTCTTCCAGTCTAATATGAAAGACTGGGTCACCAGACCTTCCAATTTGCTTTTCTTCTTGTTTCTCAGCCTCTTTCAGCTTGCTTTCTGCACTGATGCTCTCTGCATGATACATATGGTATGTTTTCATCACCTGTGAAAAAGTTATCCAAATTGTTAAAAGCTGTCTGTCTGTAACTTAGAGAATGAATGGGAACCATTATAAATAGTAAAAGTATCACCTTCTAACTGGCAGTGGAAAGCCAGATTGTTAGTAAAATAGATGAGTTATGGACTACTACTTCTACATAAAACAAATAGAAATATGCAAATTCGCCTGCTGGGAAAAGGCACTTAGGGGATAGGCTTTGATGAAAAAATGATTTACAAAGTCTTATACATGTTTCAATGTACCTGAAGAGTTCTCTTAAGCTGAAACATGTTTCTCTGCAACCTCCACTGAATTATTAATTTGAAGAATAAATCATTTATTCATGGATAAATTTTAGCTTAACCTCAAAATGATAAAAACTCCAAATTAGTACAGTCTTTATTAAAGGGTTTTTATTATACACATATCTACTTGTCAAAACACAAAATGCAGATATTCAGGTTCATACATAGTTTTAATTTTAAAAAAACAACAACAGTTTTTCTGAGTACAAAGTAATGCTTTGTAGAAAATAAATACAGCTACTCCTCACTTTGTGACGATCTTGCTATCCAAAATTTTGCATTTATGACAATAGTAAAAAACACAAAAACAAAAACTACTATCTGACTATGCTGCACATTAATGACATACATCTGGTAGTAACAAATGTCAGGGTGTGAGGTGAGAGTAACACTGGCTGTGATGGTTAAGGTTATATGTCAGCTTGGCTGGGCCATGATTCTCAGTGGTTTGGCAGTGATGTAATGATGTGGTCATCCTTCATTTTCGTATATAACACCAATTTTCGAATAACATCCTGGTCTTCAGAACCTAACTATATTGATAAGTGAGAAGTGGATATAATACAGAAAAATAAAATGAAGAAAATAAAAATCATCCAGATGTAATCACTAGTAATATTCTGGTGTATAGCCTTCTAGTCTTTTTATTATGAATGAATATGAATACACACATATTCCTTCATTTAAAATTATTTATATAATTTATCCTTTTGCAAAATTGGGATCATACTATATCTACAACGTTTTTCACTTAATATATCAGACTATTTTTCCATATCAAATAGTCTTCTAAAACATAATTTTAAATGCTTCGAAGTATATTGTTATATGACTGTCATAAACTACTTAACTAATTCCCTAATACTGAACATTTTACAATATTTCAACATTTGCTTTATAAATGAACCTATGCTGGAAATCACTGATGCATATCCCTCTACTTTATCTTTGCTCTTACAAACTCAACTCACTGCTGTCAAGTCGGAACCGACTTATAGCGACCACTCCTTGGATTTCCGAGGCAGTATCATTACAGAAGTAGATTGCCCAACCTTCCTTCTGAGGAGCGGCTGGTGGGTTTGAACCACCCGCCTTCTGGTTTGCAGTTAAGTAAGTGCCTTAGGCACTATGCCACCAGAGCTCCTTTCTCTTACAAAGGACATATATAATTTGTTTTTTAAATTGGGGAATACATGTAAAAAAACCTTTAATGTGCTACTTTCATGTCTGTTATATGTAATATATCTATGTAATTCTTATATACTTTCAGTTATATTGTTGTTGTTGTTGTTGTTATTTGCCGTCCAGTCAGCCCCGACTCATAGCGACCCCTCCTTGGGTTTCCGAGGCAGTATCACTATGGAAGTAGGATTGCCCAACCTTCCTTCCGAGGAGTGGCTGGTGGGTTTGAACCACCAGCCTTCTGGTTAGCAGTCAAGTGCCTTAGGCACTATGCTAATTCAGTTATATTATTCTTTTAAAAATGCACACAAATTTGTGCCATATTTCCTGGGATAAATTTCTATAAGGGAATGGCAAGAAAATATGCACATTTTTGAGGCTTTTGAAACATACTGCCAATTTAACAGTCTGCTAATTTGAGAAGCGAAGTAAGCTATGTAGTTCTCTTTCAAAGCTTTAGTATTAGTGCTAATAATTTTTTTCAAATAACTAATAAAAATGTATTTCTTAGATACAGAATAACAGTCACAGATTTTCAGAGATTTTACCTGAAAATTAGATTTTCAATATAATTTTAATCTGTTTTTAAATGCAGATCTAGACATCTGGGCAAATTCTGAAACCTATTTATTTGGGGCCCAATTATACTCTTTCATAGAAGCAACATACATAAGGATATAATGACACCAAGGCACCTGATGTGTCAAGGAACTAGAACTTAGCACCCAAGTAATCAGTGGTGGCACAGTCTCTGAAATTGTATGAAATTCCTATTCACAGAGGGCAGATTTTATTTGCAAATAACCATAAGTTATTCAGAGCCAATTTTATAACTAAAGTGAAGTTGTTAAGAAGTTAGAGATTAAAATGTTTTATGATGAATTATTTTGAAGGGTAAAACATGGGATTAATGAAGAGCTTTTACTTATTTTCAAAAAAGCGTATGTCTTTCCTTAAAAATGTAAGCTAGCAAATCATGTCAAAGGCATTGTTATACAGGAATGAAGTAAGGACTAAACTATAAAGTAGTGGCAGCTTTTTCTAGACTGTAATTGGGAAGTAGTCTGTTTTTAGTAATTATCAAACCTATCCGTGGGAAGTTTAGTTGGCTACTCCAGTTTGAAAGAAAAATAAAATAGTATTAGGAAGCAGCTTGGCAGCTGTGGAATGAGAAGGGAGTCACCCTGCAGCTGGGCAAACAGCATGGTCAATGAACCTACTACACACCTTGCATTTCTAAGGCTTGCCTCTGTTTATATTCTCTGCCTGAAGCAAACCCACATACCATTTGGGTCATGGTTCCAGTTACATCTTAAAATGAGAGGGTGTAAAAACCCAAACACACACACACATACACACACTTGCTTATGAATCTGTGTTCTTCTTGATAAGATGGGAAGAAAGAAAACACGTGTCACGTTGAGATGAAAAGGGACCTCAGACAACCCTGGGTATCTGAGAAACATTTCTTTTAAGTATATAACAAAGACTAGACCTGAACTCTTGACGCTTGCTTTACTTGGATACTAAGGGCTAGTGTAAGCAGATAATTTTCACAAACTAATAAACCTTACTACAAGAGAAAGCACATGGAGCTGGTTGTCAGCATGGCGTTTCTTACTAACTAGATTGAGTCGAAAGGGAAATATTTGAGTCTGACCTAATACTATCAAGAAAAGGGTATAAGTATTATCTCAGTATAATGTGGTTTAGCACAATGGCTGAGGATTCTCTACCCAGTTCAATGATAATTCCCAGAACAGAAATTTCTTTATTCGGTTTTTCAATTTGACTTAGGGTTTCCACTATTCTCTAAAATGCAAACAGTTGGAATGAATGAATTTTAAAAGTTGGGGAGAAAAACACTAAAAGCTTTTTGAGGACTCTAATAGCAGATAATGAATGCAAGTACAAACTGCATTATTTAAAACGTATGCTGTTGACAGAAGTTAAATGTGTTTTGTATTTAAAAAGAAATAACAGACAATGCTCCCTTTTTCAGAGAAGCAAAAGAAAGCTTTTATTTTTAAAGGTGCATCTTGAATACATACTACAGCTTCTCCATCAGTTTAACGCAAATACAAGCCTTTGCATACCAAATTACATGATAGGCATATATCCATTTAAGTGTACCCCAACAGCATATTTTCCTATTTGAATTTTTTCTGCTAAAATTTCCTCCATGATTCTCCATTCAGCTCACTCAGTTTATCCTTCCTGCTCCACTCTTCCTTAACTATAGGAAAAATATAGTCAAGCAGAAAGACGGCATTATGGATTTCCTTCTGCAGAAGAGTGAGATCCTATATGGTAACTACTGCATAAAACCACACCAAAACCAAACATGCTGCCGTAGAGTCGGATTCGACTCATAGAGACCCCTCCTTGGGTTTCCAAACTGGAAGTTTTTTTCCCCTCTCTTTGTCATTGACAGAACAATGTGATGATGTTCTTGAAACTACCCTTGTACTTGGTATCAAAATAATTTAATACCTGTAGTGAATTTCAGGGAGCTGTGGTAGCATAGTGCTTAAGGCGTTTGATTGCTAACCAGAAGGCTGGCGGTTCAAGCCCACCAGCCACTCCTGGGAAGGAAGATTGGGCAATCTACCTCTGTAGTGATACTGCCTTGGAAACCCATGGAGGGGTCGCTATGAGTCGAATCCACTAGTTGTGTTAAGAAATCATTATGTATCTGAATATTATATGTGTTAGAGAAGATCAGGGGATTAAAGCTACAGCTTCTAGCTTTTTGAGTTTTGACTCAGAACTTAGAAGATATAGATTCTAGGAATGCAACTGCCAGTTAGTAGATAGGGGAAGTTGTTTAACATAACTATTCACCTGACAAGGTTGTTGTGGATGGCAAATTGTGTATGTGTACATACACACATACTTATATAGCATGTACTCTCACACAAATACACGTGTATCTTTAATGTATGTAATAATTTAACAAATATTGTATAATGCTTCTTATATGCTAAATACTGTCCCAAGTGTAACTAGTAAGTTACACTTAATAGTTATTAGTGTAGGAGCTCTGGTAGCATAGTGTTAAAGGCATTTGACTGTTAAACCAGAAGGCTGGTGGTTAAAACCCACCAGCCACTCCTCAGAAGGAAGATGGGGCAATCTACTTCCATAGTGATACTGCCTTGGCAACCCAAGGAGGGGTCGCTATGAGTTAGGTGAGACTCGACGGAACATAATAACAACAACAACAGTTACTAGTGTAAATAGTAACTTGTTTAATCCTTGTAAGAACTTTTTATCATTCCCATTATACAGATGAGAAAACTGAGACAAAGAGAGGTAAAAGACTTGGTTTCTATCTTCTAAGGGCTTAACTTTTAGACATTGAAGATTTTGGACAGACTCATAGAGATGGAAAGGAGATTAGAAGTTACCAGGGGCTGGCAGGGAGACAGAGGGAATGGGGAGTTACTACTTAATGGATACAGAGTTTCTGTTTGGGGTGTTAAAAATGTTTTAGAAATAGATAGTAGTGATGGT